CAAAGATTAATAAATACTGTAACAAAAGTATTACTAATTGTTAGTTAATGCGTTAATGGGACCTAGTTGTATTGTTACCATGATAATATACTAATATGTTAGTAATATTCCCAAGTGACAGATGAATTTGATTGAATATCTTTCAGCAACAAATGATATTGGAAGTGATTTTTACCCAAAATGTACTTGGTTACATTATATGGTTAGTATCTGCTATCGCAGGTCCATCAGACCTGTAACCCATTTTTGGATTGCGACCTATCAGTTGAGAACCACTGATTTAGACTGTATCTGGCCTTTGCACGTTCTGCCACTAGGGGGTGTCTGTTTACTGTGGACACCCTGCCAACACATGCACCAAACTGTGACCCTTCAGGGACCCACCCACTCACCGACATGTCAAGTACACAACCTTAATCAACTGATTTTTAACCAGGCTCCTTCAATTATTGCAGAAAAATTCACACTGAACATCCCAGAGTCCAAGACCTGCAACTTGGAGAGTCCTCCGAGGTTTATGGTTCCCCTGAAAATCCACACAGCCCCACAAGGCTACGAGTGCTACATGAACTGTGCCGTGAGGGGCAAACCCACACCCCATGTCACCTGGTACCGCAACAATGTCAGCCTCAACACTGACACCAACTACTACATCACTAACACCTGTGGAGTGTGCTCCATGCTCATTCTCAGGGTTGGAGCCAAAGACATGGGAGAGTATAAAGTCATAGCTGAGAGCTCACTGGGAAGAGCAGAGTGCACCACCAATCTCGCAGTGAGAGGTAAGGTTCTACATGAAGAAATTTACACCATTAAGCACCTGATGACAACTGGGTTTCCCAAAGCGCTAAGTACAATTTTAGAAGTCGTACTTTAACTCTAAGCAAGTTTCCCCACAACATCATCTACTTATTTGCTATGTAAAACCATATATAAATTCTCAGACCTTTTTTAGTGTTAAAAAACTGAACCTTCATGAAACTACCAAAGCGTCAACATTTTTTCACAATATTCAGTAATGCTTAATAACTTCCAGTGACTTGACAAGATAACATAATTTTACATATTCAGCAGCATTTTCAAACTATTTTAATGTTGTGGAGACAAACTCCTGAAGATCCTGGCAACCACTGTGGCCTTTGGACCTAACAGTAACAATGCACATACATTTTACTAACAAGCATTCTGTGTGCTGGTTTGAGAAACCAGTGTCAATGCATCCAAATACAGGTTGATCTGCAGTAATATTGGGAAACTCAGCAAATGCCACTCAGAAAAGTTATTAAATGACTAAATGAAAACTTCTAAATGCATCTAAATCTTCTGAATCCAATTTAACAAGGCATCCTACCAATGCAACACTATATGCAGCTAAATGCGGTATAATGCTATTCATTAGTATTTAAAATTATTAATAATTAATTAACATTAATAAAGATTACTATAACAAATGTATTGGTAATTGTTAGTTAATGCATCAACTAATGTAACTAATGGGACAGAATGAAAACATCTAAATGCCTCTGAATCCAGTTGTACAGAACATTCTTCCAATGCATCACTAACTAGCTATTTGATGTATAATGTTTCTAAATATATTTCTGAGTATATCTTCAGAAATCCTTAGAATAACTTGGTTTCAAACATTTAAGCATGTTAAAAAGTCATAAAAGTTACTCAAAGTAAATTCAGAGAGTTTAGAACATTTCATACATAAAACTGCAAATAAACACCTTAATCATATTTTCTTTGTTTTTCAGAATAAAACCTTGACGTGGGGAGGATGTCAAAAAAACTGCTTACAAATCATTGTGCAAATCTTTTTTTTTTTTTTTTTTTTTTTTTAGTACCTTTGTAGAACTACAGCATTGATTATTTTTGCAGAAAGATGGCTCATGGAAATACTGCGCACTGTGTGGCCTTATGAGACAGAAACGGTGGAATCAAATGCATGTGAAAAACTTCATATTGTCTTATTGTGTTGAATAGCACAAAAATCTGAAAACATAAAGAAAAAACTCTGTGTTGTGCTGCTTGGGTGGCTGATGCTAATACGCCATGCTTACCTAATCCTGTTTGGCAATGATTTTACTTCATCTTAGTTCAGGTTTGGGGGGGGGTATTGTATTTGTACACAATTTAATTTATTACTTTATTTATTCTTGGCTTTTGTGTATGTACCCTGCTCTTTCACAAATTCAAGTACACACACAAAAAAGTGCTGATTTCTCACATCCATTTTTTTCTTTTTGCTTGTCTGGAAATGCTAAAGTATAAAAGAATATTTAGCTTCTTCAGATATCGTTTATCAACAAAAATGGTTTGGTGTAAATAAAATATTGAGGTTCTTTGAACAGTGCACTTGTGTATCGACTGTTATTGTACCTTATCATTACAAATCCATTACTCTGCGTATTAATTCAAAGCACAATGATCCGATTATTAATCCATGATCCTGTGCTCCTACAATTCTCAAGAGCTGTGTTTCTGAACACATCCATTCAGAAACAGACAAAGCGAGAGAAATATTATACAGAAGTTCCATATGAATGCATACTGATGACACCATAAAGTCTCACTTATAAGTAAAGCCTGAACATGCTGTCCTTGTTATATTTGGACTATTTTACTGCATGCCAATACATTTTTTAAATGGCCTGACAGGGTCCAGCACATGTAACATCAGTATAGTTCTCCTGTGGCATGCTCATGTGTATATGTCAGACTTAAGAGTCACTATATCATGATGATTTATGACCTTTCCGTCTCTTCTGATTCATATATGGGCCATAACGTCCTGGCCTGACCATACCAATGTAACTTCAAACTCGTATCCAACAAGCATGGGATTTGTCTTGGCCAGTTAAATATTTATGTAACCCATGAATCATTTAGAATAATTTATCTCCAAAACTATTGCATACATTTACATTAAGCATCGACAAACAACATGTTTTCTTTTTTCTTCAAATGAGAACCATTCATTTTTGTTAATATAGGCTAGATTAGTCTTATATGACCCACTTTTGATGTGGTACACAATTACAATGACAAATGATACACAACTTTTAGAAATAAAATCATTGTTGGTAGGTTCAAGGCACATCATTCTGAGAAGCACAAGCTTACCTTTCTCACATCACAAGGAAGCTGCTCCTTTGGCTGTCACTGCTGCACCGCATGTTAACTCCTGGAGTTTCTTTTTTTTTT